TGCTGCTGAGCACACAGACCTGCACACCGTGCTGCTGAGCACACAGATCTGCACACTGTGCTAGCCCTCAGAGCTTCCTGCCAGTGCTGTCTGCCTTCATCTCAGCCCCATGTAGACTTAGACGGGGGACTGCAGCACCTACTAAATCATGTTTTTATTCTGAGGAAGGCATGCATACTTGCTGCAGAAAAATTCAAAGACCTTTAATAATTTTTCTGTTAATAAATATTTCCTGACAACTTGATATGTGCTGTGTCTTAGGTGGGATATGACCAGTACAAACCTAAATAACCTTTTATATTCCCATCACTAAAAGAATGTTAAGATTTTGGCATGAAATTTAAATGGAATCACTGTATAATGAGGGAGACAGTGCTCCAACTAGACATCATATGCCATATATAAAAAGACATTTTATGCCAGCAAGTAAAACCTCCATTCGGGAGTGGGTTACATCTTGTTGAGTCATTGGCCAAAAAGGTCCCATAAATCAGTCTCCCACCCCACCCCCCCAAAAAATTTCACAGTCTATTGTTCAGACTGTTGATTACTCTCTATACTCTGACGGTAGGACCCTATTACTGAAGACAACTTATGTCGTCAAACATGTAAATCGAGGTGGTGCCCAACTAGAAGCTTCACCCCTGCCCACTAATCTTCATGGTGCTGGAAAGTACTTTGCATTGTCCCCGAAGAGAAAAATAATCACTTTCATCAAACTACAAACCCTGTGACCTACAGCAGAGGCTGCCTGCAAGAATTACTCATGCCATAGTGACCACATTGTAGGAGTAACCAAAGTATTCCCCTTGTTTTGTTTTTGTTTGCTTTTGATTCAAGGCCCATTTTATGTGATGAAAACCCATCCATGGCACTGATAAAGTGGCCAAGAAACTGAGACTAGATAGGTCATGGGCCTAGGGTGAAGCCTACTGTTACTCTTCTGCTAAAGGAACCTAGCAATAAAATTACTCCTAATGACATATTTGCTTGCAATACCCACAGAACAGAGCTTTGCTCAGCCCCCATCCAAGAAGCGTCTTCTGGCAGTAGATGATAGTTACCGCACAGAGCCACACTGGTTAGTGCAGAGAGTGGGGCACTCAGTCCTTGGAGGGTTGTCTTTATCAAATGAGGAGGGCAGAAAGACTAAGAGACAGAGGTGGTGAGTGACCCTAAGGAGCACAGCAGGCATGTGAGTCAGAGACTGACAGCATGCATAAGACCTGCACAGGGCCAAATCACACAAAATCCAGTGCCAAGAAGAGGGAGTGAACACAACCCCCCCCCCCCCCCCCCCCCCCCCCCCCCCCC